TTCTCCATATCAACTAAAGTACGCCCAGTAACAAGGAATGGTCTCCCTATTATAATAGGCACTTCAAAGTCAACCACCTAGTCTAATATCACAAAATCCGTCGGAAATATGAATGCCTCAACTTTAACATAAATATCTTGTAGCACCCCAATTGATTTCTTCACAATATGATAATCCATAAGTAGCTGCATGACAGACGATTTACGGGCCCCCAAGCCCAACTTTTTGAACACAAATAGTAGCATCAGACTTGTGCTAGCTCCCAAATCAGATAGGGTCTTAGCAAAGTGTAACATGCAAATCGTACAGGGAACAATAAATGCTCCAGGATCCTCCTACTTTTGTACTAACGATCTAGTAGCAAGGACACTACAATGCTGCAACTTGTCATCACCTTCTAAACTGATGGGATACTATTCGACATGTCATCACCTTCTAAACTGATGGGATCCTATTCGACATGTCATGTCTAGGGTGTACTTTGGATCGTGACAAAGATGACTGCCACCTGGTAATTGAAATTGGTGTAGTAACTAGGGTAGTAATTACCGGCCTAGTTATTACACAATCGAGTAATTATACTGGCATGCTTGTTTGCCCAGTATAATTACAAATGTACTATTTGAATGCACAATTGCAATCATAAAATTATATTAAAATTTAAAAATAAATTATTTTAAATTTATATATTAGAGAAATAAGAAACTTTATAAATGATATTAAATTAAATATTTAAGATATATATTGGTGTTTTAAAAATATATTAATTAATAAACATATGTTCTTTACTAATATTATGAAAAAACAACTTATTTGTATTTTTCAAATCAATATATTTCAATTGAATTAATCATAAGAACTAAGGGGTCGTTTGGTAGAGTGTATTAGAAAATATAATGCATGCATTAGGTGTGTGTATTAGTAGTACCTTGTTTGGTTACACTTTTTTTCATGCCATGTATAACTAATGCAAGTGTTAGTTATACACTCTATTGTGTATTAACTTGTGTATTACTAATACCAAGGAATTCTAGGTATTAGTAATACATAACATTTTAACACTTGCATTAAATTAAATAATTACAAAACTACCCTTAAAGCCTTTTCATTTTCTTTGTTGTCATAAATTTTTGTTTTTATTTTGATTTGCTTTTCAGTGTCTTTTAATTTTTTGGTGTCTCAATAGGCTTTATGACCTCTTAAGTGTCTTTTTTAAAAAAAAATTCAATTTCAATATAATTTAATCAAAAATTTTACTATTGTGACAATAAATTTGATAAAAAAAAATATTTGCCAGCTTTCCACAAAAATATTTTGACGCAATAGTACAACTATTTAATATTATTTTAAGAAGAAGAAGAAGAGTTAATGATGTTTTAGCAAAGAATTTTTTTTGATGTTTTAGCAAAGAACTTTGTTGCAAAGGAAGTGTAACAAATAATAAAGTGTGAAGGGGTATATTTGTAAACATATATTTTTTAATAGAAATTATGTAAGATTTGTTATTTCTAATACATCAAACCAAACAATGTATAAGAAATAATGTTTGCATAACTAATGCAAGTATTACTAATGCAAGCACTACTAATGCAAGCATTACTAATGCACCCTATTTTGCATTATTCTTATACACTCTATCAAACGACCCCTAAAAGTACAATATTTCTATGAATATACTGAAATGCATGTTTGACAAAAAGATTAATATTATAAATAAAATGTCATAAATTATTAAAATATTTGAGAAAAAGATAATCTATCAAGTCTAACAAAAAATAAATGACTCTCAATGTGAAGTCTCAAGTCAATACTACTAAACAAATGAAACTGAAAATATAACATAAGTTCTAAATTCAAAACAAATATTTTTAACATAATACTCTTATGTCAAATTTCAACATTGTTACATAAATATGATTTAAAATAAAAGAAAAATGTAAATGTATAACCCTACTCAACAATGAATTTCACTTTAATTTAAAAATTAGAATACTAACAAAATTATGCTAATGAAGAAAATAAACATGACATAAAAAAAATAGATCATACGAAAAATTGCATGAAATCACAAGGTTTAGAATGAGATTGAAATGAAATATAAATAATATAAAATAAAAAACAAAATTTTAGAATAATAATAATAATAAAAGAATTTAAATTATTACAATAAAAATTAAATTAAAATGAAAACATAAAAGTAAAAATATTAAACTTAAAAGTAATTTGTATGTCATTACAAAGAATTGGGTACTGTAATTACCATACCAATTACGTGCGGATCAAGTAATTATATGAACAATCAAATAGTTTGTATAGTATAATTATACCAAAGGCTGTCCAAACAGGGCCGTATAGAATTTGCATTTATACGGTTGACTCTAGAAATTGCAAGCATAGTTTTCAAGTTAAGTATGCCATTTTGGTCGGGTCTCCGGCGATGTACACCACCGATCGGTTGTAGGCCGACAACCCAACTCCGCCATTTTAGCCATTTAAGTGGAACTGAAGTTCAGCAGGATCCAGAAAGCACTTCAATATCTTTCCTCAAATGGATTGGTGGAATCATTACCAGTTCCACTTTAGCTTTCGCATGTTACTCCTATTCTTCACCAAATTACCCATCTTTGTCTTTTTGCCACACATCACAATCTCTTGACCACCATCGACCAAACTATCTCTTTGGAGGTAATTAAATTCACTAAAATCTTCTCAATTTCTTTTGTGGGTTTGAGTATAATTAGGGTTAACTTGTATATGCAGATGCTTACAGAAGAAAAGTATTCTTTAAATATGAAAAGCGTATTAGGATGCGAAGTCCTCCTGAAAAGGTATTAATTCTACCTAAGTCCTGCTTTCACTTACTTTGTTCTATAACTAATTAATTGATTCAAAAACATATTTTCGGAAGCTGTACTAAATCCTTACAATAGATATGTCGTTGGTATCATATTTTTTAAAATGTTTTATCATAATCGTAGTTTTCTTGATGTCTGGAATTAGTGATAGCAGAGTTTTATCTATTAGAACTACTGACTAAATAAGTTCATGTCATCCTATCGAACTTGATCTTCTTCTATGCCACTGTGATGTTATTCTGCTGGTGATGATCAAATTGTAGTATCTACACTCTAGATGTACAACTTTGGTATGAATATTTCCAATTTAACAGCTTACATTACAAGACCGTTCAATGCTGTAGGATTTGTACAGTAACAAGAATATCGATTGTGTACCTGTTAACAACAAAACAAGTCTTGTGTCGAGAAATTGCCCCAAGCCAACTTCGTCTCTCTTGGATGCGGAGTTCTGTTCATGAACTGATGTCCCTTTTAATCTTTTGTGTGTGTATTGTAGAGATTTTTTTCCACACACCATTGAAGAATGTAGGATCATCTTTATGTAGAGGAGGAGAGACTTTACTGTTGCAAAAACTGATCAATGCACGTTTCTGGTTGGTTACTTCCCAATACGTTCTCTCTGGCAGTGTTTTGGACGGCGAGAGGCAACAAAAGGCGACAAGGGCCTGCCACGCGGCGAGGCGAGCGGCGAAGCGCTCGCCTTTTTGAATCAAGGCGCCAATTAGTACCAAAAATTAAAAATATTTAATTGCATGTATAAATATCCAAAATCTCAATAGCAATAACATATATTAGCAAATATTTCAATTCAAAAACTAAAAGTAGATACTAAAAGTCTAGAACTTTAAAGACCCAATAATTCAAAAGATAATACTAGAACTCTAAAAGTCTATTCTTCTTCAAAACTATCCAACTCTTGAAGATCAACATCCTCTACATCATTATATTGCTCCTCATCTTCTTCCTCCTCGTAGTCCTCATCAATTAGTGTCCGAGTCCTACTTGAAGTTGAACTTGTAGATGTAGTTTCTACTCCTTTGCCCTTGTCAAGTGCACTTGATCTTGAAGAAAGTCCCCTAAGATGATAGATACTCTCATCAGCTCCAATTGCCGTAGCAACACTACCCCAAGTAAGATCATCATCCTCATATACTAGTTCATCTTCTTGAT